CTGTGGACTTCAACTCCCAGAATCCCCCAGCCAGCGCAGCTGCGCTGGCTGGGGGATTCTGGGAGTTGAAGTCCACAGGACTTAAAGTCCCCGAGGTTGAGAAACGCTCCTTTAGAGCAGAGGGGAAATAGCTAAACTTCTCAAACGCTGAGAAACCTTTTGCTACAAACTACCAGGCTATGACAGATCCGCTTAGTGACTGTTCAGAGTTACAACGGCACTGAAAAAGTGACTTGTGGCCGCTTTTCACACTTACAACCGTTGCGCATTCCCCGTGGTCACGTCGGCCAAATCCAACATTCGCACACTTGGCAACTGACTCACATCCACGACGGCCGGCCGTGTCCCGGGCGATCCCCCCGAACTTTTCTGACAGTTTGTGGGGAAGCTGGATTCCCTTAACAACCATGTGACTCACTTAACGATTGCAGGAATCCTTTTCCCCCACCATGGCAAGGAAGGTCGCAAAACGGGGCTTCCCAAATGTCTTCGCTTAGCAACAGAAATCTGGTTCTCCGTTGCAGTCGTAACGTCGAGGACTGCCTCGGCCGAAAGGCCATTGGGCAAAACGTGGGTCGTTGTACGGGGCTGCTCCTTACCTTGAGGTGGGGATTGGCATCCAGGGCAGGGAGCCTCTCCCGCAACGCATACCCTTTGCTCCGGGGGGCGCTCTAGGAGACAGAAAAGGGGGGGAAAGGGCGTCTCATCTCCGGATCGTACCAAAAAGCGTCCCCTGGCCGCCCTCCTGCCTCCGAGTACCGTCTGATGCGCGATGTGTTCCTCCGCTTCGGCCTGGGTGACCTCCTGACCCTCCTCTGGGATGTCTGGCAGGACGTCCCCACCACCATCTCCATGGTCATCCGGGGGGTCGGCTGCACCTGCTGGGAGGGTCCCGGGGGAGGAAAGAGAGCGAGAGCTCAGGGTGGCTTCCTGGGACAGCGGTGGGCGGAAGGAATGGCCTTGGGGGACGGGAGGAAGGGGTGGAACCAGGACGATAAAAGAAACTGCTGAATCTGGGGCAGAGATGTAACTGGGGGAATGCGCCTCGGGCAAGACCCTCCCAGGAGGGAGGGGGGGGTCTGCTGCCTCTTTCTATGCACTGAGGATGTTCCCTAGTTGGGTCATGAAACGCCTGCAAGGAAACAATCCCACTCAGAGAGCACCAAGGACCTCACAGTCCTCCTCCCCTCTCTCCTCCTCTTCTCCACTAATCCCACTCCCTTCCAGCACTGATGATGTTCCCTAGTTGGGTCATGAAAACGACTTCAAGAAAACCAGCAGGCTCAGGGTACCCATGAAACATACTCTGGTCATTCCTCTCCTCCTCCTTTCCTTACCCCTCTTCCCTTCCAGCACTGATGATGTTCCCTATATGGGTCATGAAACGTCTTCAAGAAAGCCACCAGAATCAGGGCAACAAGAACACCACTGCCATTGTCCTCCTCCCTCTCTTCTTTCATTCCACAACCCCCCTCCCTTCTAGCACTGATGGTGTTCCCTCGTTGGGTCATGAAACGTCTTCAAGAAAACCACCAAGCTCAGAGAGCACCAAGGAAGCCACACAGTCCTCCTCTTCCTCCCTTTTGTTTTTTTCTTCTGCTTCCTCTTCCCCTCCTCCTCTCCACAAACCACCCTTCCCTTCCAGCACTGATGATGTTACTTAGTTGGGTCATGAAACGTCTGCAAAGAAACCACCAAGCTCAGGGAACACCCAGTCCTCCTGTTCCTTCTTCTCCTCCCAAACCCTTCCAGAACCGATGATGTTCACGGCCAAGCTCAGAGAGCACCCGGGACCCTGTAGTCCTCCTCTTCCTTCATTTCCCCCCCCCTTTCGTTCCTTCTTGTGCTTCCTCTTCCCCTCCTCCTCTCCACAAACCGCCCCTCCCTTCCAGCACTGATGATGTTCCCTAGTTGGGTCATGAAATGTCTTCAGGAAAACCACCAAGCTCAGAGAGCATCGAGGACCCCACAGTTCAGCCTTGAGTTTCAAGGATTCTATCAATTAACCGAAACGACTCCTCCATCCAGGGCATCAGCCTGCAGACAGACCCCCCCCAGCTGGCTCTAACTTCTCATAAACTGCCCCCGGGGTTCTTCAAAGCGAGAGACGGCCTATGAGAGGCTTTCAAGAGATTTGAGCTGGCCTCCCCCTTCCCAGCTGGGGTTTTCTATCGACCCCCCTCCTAATCCCACTTCCCTGAACATTCACTCTTCCACCCCTTCAATTCACTGCGACTCACTTCCTTCTCCAGAAAAGTCCAGAGCGAGAACGGGGGTCTCGCACCCGCTGACCTCCATGGGCATGGAGCCAGCTGTGGGAGCCAGGCTCCGAACACCTGCACAGAAGCAAAAAGAACGTGTGAGCACACCTAACACACCTCCGCTGCCGATCGGCTGCTTTCACGTGGCAGCCCACGAAAAGAGACGGTCCCAATTTTCTTTATGGGTGGCAAATCTTTTGCAGACAGGAAAACTAGGAGCCGCATTTGCTGCTTTTCTTAAATTTCTACAAGGTTCCTGACAGGCCACGTGCTTAAAATAAAATAATAAAGGGAAAAAGAAAATAATAAACAAGAAAATAAAATTAAACATAAACTTAAATATAAAAAGAAACTTAAATATAAACATAAACTTAAATATAAACATAAACCTAAACATAAAATTAAACATAAACTTAAACATAAACATAAACTTAAACCTAAACATAAAATTAAACCTAAACATAAACTTAAATATAAACATAAACTTAAACATAAACATAAACTTAAATATAAACCTAAACTTAAATATAAACCTAAACTTAAACATAAACTTAAATATAAACATAAACTTAAATATAAACATAAACTTAAATATAAACATAAACTTAAATATAAACATAAACTTAAATATAAACATAAA